CCCGAGCGCTCATGTGAATGTAAATGCGTCTGTGTCTTTGTCCGCAGCTGTGCAGGTGTGCCGTGAAAATACCTTTATGGGTATTTTTATTTTCTGTTATGTGTAGTTGGGATTTTGATGTATATATGAGCGGCTAGAGGTGATAAGGTGGGAGAGTTGGTGGCAGAAAGGGGGGGGGGGGAGGGGGTGTAGGTTAGAATGGGTTGGGATTAGGGGGAGTGAGAGTGGGCGGTGGAGACGGGACAAGAGTCGGGCGGGGTGTGCGGGCTGTGAATGCTTTAGCGGCCGTATGGGGGACTTCATATTTGACTTAGATGACCTTTGACCCAATGATAGATGACTCACCCCTCTCAGCTCCTCTGTCTACATTAACCATCCTCTGATCATCATAATTTAGGACCGTAAACATTTCACATTTATCTTTCATGTCTCATTTCCCGCTATTAAGGACTGAATAATTATTTGAAATTGAATTTAACTGTCTGCCTCGGTACCCGCCATAACCGTCGCGCTCACGGGGGTTGTGGGAAGCCTCGTGACCGTTGATCCGCATGCAAACACTATGTATGTATAGTATTTATTATACATCCACACCCTCATCCAGACACTTTATATAGAGAACAGAAAACAAAGAGTTACAGTCAGAGAGTGGATGCAAGCTGGAGAAATGTAACACATGAGGTCCCACAAGGCTTTGTCCTAAGACCGCTGCTGTTCCTAGTTTATGTGAACGACTTACCAGATGGAGTGAGCTAGTACACATCATTATGCGATGAGGAATGTGAAAACAGAGGACTGCAGGAAGTTACAGGAGGACCTTGACAGACTCCAGGTGTGGTCAAACAAATGGTTGCTAGAATTCAATCCCAACAAGTGTAAGGTAATGAAGATGGGAAGGTTATCTTGAGGTTATATTGAGTTGATTTCGGGGCTTTAGTGTCCCCGTGGCCCCGTCCTCGACCAGCCCTCCACCCCCAGGAAGCAGCCCGTGACAGCTAACTAACTCCCAGGTACCTATTTACTGCTAGGTAACAGAGGCATAGGGTGAAAGAAACTGCCCATCGTTTCTCGCCGGCGTCCGGGATCGAACCCGGGACCACAGGATCACGTGTACAGCGTGCTGTCCGCTCGGTCTGCCGGCTCTCTGAAGAGAGACCTTTCCCTGAAGGGACAGGAAGAGAGATCAGAAGGCATCTACACCATAAGAGAAAGGCAACTACAGGAATCAGAAAAAAATTGGGAATGGATATAATTCCAACACTAACACGAGACTCGTATATAAACATAACATGGCAACATATGGGACGCTGGCAAACATCAGAACATCGTTTAGAAACCAAAATCAGGATTCCTTCGATTCGTTGCCAGATTCGACCAAGAATTTGAACGTCATAATAGTTAAATTGTAATGCAACATTAACAACAGGTGGAGTAAACGTGGGATAAAGAGCTAGAACCCCCCGCTAGAACTTCCTTAGGTTCTATTAGTTAAACATCCTAATCCATACACACTAAGTATGGTAATTATTATACAGCAACACCCTAATTCAGACACGCTTAAGGTGTGTATATTAATATCAATCCACATCCTCACATTCAGAAATGTCTATATTTTTACCTATTTTAACATTCCTACTGCATCATAGATATGCGATGCCTAAAAAGATTTCGAAAAACAATTTCGACTTGTTCCTAACAATTATTATTAATTATTGTAATCAAGTCAACAGAATATAACAATTATGATAACTGAAAATGGAAGTAAAGATGGCCGAACAAAAACTCAGTCGTGTATACAAGGAGACAATTTGAACGGACATAGATGGGTGTAGTAGGTGAGTGGACACTAGGTAAGGTAATTATCAGACAACGATTAGGTAATTATCACCTAGTTATGCTCGCGAAGGTTGAGCTTTGGCTCCTTGGTTCCGCCTCTCAACGGTCAATCTACTGGTGTACAGATTCCCGAGGTTCTCGAGCTCTATCATATCCACATTTAAAACTGTGTCTGGAGTCAGCCTCCACCACATCACTTACTATTGCATTTCATTTACTAACTACTCTGAAAAAGTTGTTTCTAATGTCTCTGGCACATTTGGGTACTCAGCTTCCACCTGTGTCCCCTTGTGCGTGTACCACCCGTGTTAAATAATCCATCCTTGTCTACCCTGTCATTTCCCCTGAGAATTTTGTATGTGATGATCATGTCTCCTCGAGCTCTACTGTCTTCCAGCGACGTGAGGTGCAGTTCACGCAGCCTTTCCTCGTTACTCATGCCTCTTAGTTCTGGGATTAGCCTAGTGGCATACCTCTTAACTTTTTCCAGCTTCGTCTTGTGCTTGACTAGGTACGAGCTCCATGTTAGGGCCACATACGCCAGGTTTGGGCTTACATGCGTGGTATACAAGGTCTTGAAGGATTCCTTACACAGGTTTCTGAAGGCAATTCTGATGTTAGCCAGCCTTGCATACGCCGCCGATGGTATTCTTTTGGTGTGGGCTTCAGGAGACAAGTTTGGTGTGATATAAACTCCTAGATAGCTGCTACGGGCTGCATCCTGGGGATGGGCGCAAGAGAGCGAGAAATATGTAGTTACAAAGTTACAAAGGCGGGGCAGAAGAGCTAATAGCTCAATGCTGCGGGCTCAAATAGTAAAAATACACCAGTCACCAAAACAAACATAGACAAATTAAACCATGATCTTTTTTAAAAGTGTGTCAAGCTTGTCCGGGAGAGTCAACAGGCGACGCTGGTGTCCCAACAACGGAGACATCCTCCCTAATTAGTAGCCGGGTGTTGACTGTTGTGGAGCTCGGCCTACCAGGGCTATCGGGTTCCTCGCCCCGCTATGCCCACCCGTCACTCGCTTTTTGGAGGGAATGAAGAGGATGGAGAGGCATAGGAGAAGGGAAGCTTAGAAGTGGGAAATAGTGAGAGTTATGAAAGCAGGCGGGCTGTCCGCCTTGCTGACACAATCTGTGGATGTTGGCAGCTAAGTTAAGCTTGCTCCCTCTTGTCAGGGAGCTGTGAGTGTGTAAGAGGTTCTTCACATGTGTTTCAGCATATATGGATGTCTGTAGATGAATACTGTGTAGCATTCATATATACACACTCCGATGCTTCCACACATGCTATGTTCTGTTTAAGGCTATTTTTTTATTATTATTATTGATTTATATAAACATATATATATATTTTGGTAGCAGTCTTTCCTGTAAACATATGTTGTTGAATATGACCGATAGAGTAAGATTAATGATTCTAACACGAATCTTCTCAATATTTATTATGTTATTCTTCACTGTCGAGAGAAGTTGAAAAATTAACTCTCCAAAGTTCATTTTCACAATTTATGGTCTGACGCCTAGAGATGCATTTCGCAAGGCACTTCTTACATTTTCAAAGCCATATTTTCCATGCTTTGCCAAGGATTATATTGGTTGTCTGGTTGTCATACAAACAGACCATCTGGGTTTGCATCTAATGTGGCTGGGTTTTCATCTAGTAAATCGAGGCTCTTGGGCCACCAGCTGTGGGAGCGGGGCGTCTCATCTTGGAGTAATCTTTCTAGCACTGGATCCTCTAACATTTCGATGGTGTTCTACACCCTGATGGCTTGGTGCCTTAGTTTGATGTTTAGTGGCTATATGTTCAGGAGTTCGTGGAGCTCCTGGATTGTCTGATCATATGGTGGATGATGTTTTGCTGCTCTTCTTAGTGCCTTATTTTGCACTGCTTGCAGTTTTTGCATGTTAGTTTTCTTTATGGTGTGTCACTCGTCTCTTCCCGGCCTGTCTACCGTCGCCAGGACCACCCTCGCCCCACCATGCTCACCCACGTCCCATCATACCCACCCTCGCCCCAACCATGCCTACCCTCGCCCCAACCATACCCACCCTCGTCCAACCATGCCCACCCTCGTCCAACCATACCCACCCTCGCCCCACCATACCCACCCTCGCCCCACCATACCCACCCTCGTCCCACCATGCCTACCCACGCCCCACCATTCTCACCCTCGCCATGTCATGCCCATCTTCGCCCCACCTTGCCCATCATCACTCCGTCAACCCAAACTTTGCCCAGCAATGCTCACCGTTCAGTCTACAATGCCCACCTTTACCCCGCCAAACCCACCCTCACCCAGGGTCCCTGGGCAGGTCAAGACCCAAGGAACACGCTGGGCATAATTGGGTAGGGGCGTAAAAGGGTTTTGCTTAAAGAGTGAAAAAAACTGGTATTGCCTAATGTGGCAGGGGCGTGGGGAATGGCGCTTAATTGGGGAAGTAGGAAATGGTGTTGATAATGGGTGTTTTACTGCCGAGTAGTAATAGGTGCTTCACTTGTATTTTATACCTACACTTATACTTATACCTGTTATACACCATAGAGTGTGGCACACTTAGTGCTTCTGCACCTTCTTTTAATATCCACGGCGAGATTCTGTCAGGCACAACAGCCTTTGTCACATTCTGCTCCAACAGATTCCTTTTGACCTCATGACTGGTGAGGTCAAATTCCTCCAAGGTTGCTTGGTTTTCCTCCTCATTTAGTGCAGGGGGTTCCCACTGTTCTTTTGTGAAGACCTCCTAGAATCTCTTGTTGAGTTCTTCACGCACCTCCTTGTATCTATTCTCCCTGTTTCTCAATTTCATCACTTGTTCCTTCATTGCTGTTTTCCTCCTGATGTGGCTGTAGAGCAGTTTTGGTTGGGTTTTAGCTGTACTCGCGATGTCATTTTCATACTGTCTCTTTGCTTCTCTCCTCACTCTGAGGTACTCATTTCTTGCCCTCTGGTATCTCTCCCTGCTCTCTGGTGTTCTGTTATTCCTGTAGTTTCTCCATGTTCTTTTACTCAATTGCTTCGCTACCTTACATTCCTGGTTGAACCATGGATTATTCTGTTGCTTCTCGTTTTTCTCCCTTTGGACCTGGATAAAACTGCCTGCATCTTCCTGGCACTTCTGGGTGAAATAATCCATCATATCCTGTGTCATCATATGTCGGGGTCCAAGAACTGTTCCATCCTACAGGCGCACATAGTAAATACCACGAGTAAATACACGTATAATGGCATGTCCCACCTGCCAGGCTCTCGTAGTGGCATGTCCCACCTGCCAGGCTCTCGTAGTGGCATGTCCCACCGGCCAGGCTCTCGTAGTGGCATGTCCCACCTGCCAGGCTCTCGTAGTGGCATGTCCCACCTGCCAGGCTCTCGTAGTGGCACGTCCCACCGGCCAGGCTCTCGTAGTGGCATGTCCCACCTGCCAGGCTCTCGTAGTGGCATGTCCCACCTGCCAGGCTCTCGTAGTGGCATGTCCCACCGGCCAGGCTCTCGTAGTGGCATGTCCCACCTGCCAGGCTCTCGTAGTGGCATGTCCCACCTGCCAGGCTCTCGTAGTGGCATGTCCCACCGGCCAGACTCTCGTAGTGGCATGTCCCACCTGCCAGGCTCTCGTAGTGGCATGTCCCACCGGCCAGACTCTCGTAGTGGCATGTCCCACCTGCCAGGCTCTCGTAGTGGCATGTCCCACCGGCCAGACTCTCGTAGTGGCATGTCCCACCTGCCAGGCTCTCGTAGTGGCATGTCCCACCTGCCAGGCTCTCGTAGTGGCATGTCCCACCTGCCAGGCTCTCGTAGTGGCATGTCCCACCGGCCAGACTCTCGTAGTGGCATGTCCCACCTGCCAGGCTCTCGTAGTGGCATGTCCCACCGGCCAGGCTCTCGTAGTGGCATGTCCCACCGGCCAGACTCTCGTAGTGGCATGTCCCACCGGCCAGACTCTCGTAGTGGCATGTCCCACCAGTTGTGCTGGTTTTATACGGGGAAAATAATACTTGCTTTGCATATGCTTGTCAGAATAAATTATTTTAGTCTCGATTAAATAAACAAATAACTTAAAATAGATTTCAAAACCTTCTAAATGTTCCAGTTATTTTATATATTTTTGTTAATCGATAATATAAATAACGATGTAGTGTTGGTAATTACCTGGCTTTAATTACAATGACACCTTTCATCTCACTATATTACTGTTCTGACTAATTACCTATTATGTGTTTGTACAAACACCATGGCTAATTATTTTGTCAAATTAGGTAAAGAGAAAGTATTGTTTAGTCAGTGTGGTTATGCACACAAGGGCTCGCGGCCGAGTGGACAGCGCTCCTGGGCCGTAGTCCTAAGAGCCCAGGTTCGATCCCCAGCAGAGACAGAAACAAATAGGGAGAGTTTCTTTCACCTGATGCCCTTGTCAACGTAACAGTAAATAGGTACCTGTTAGTCAGCTACTACGGGCTGCATCCTGGGGATGTGTGTGTGTGTGTGACAGAGATGAAACAGATTGGCAGTCAGTCCATTAGACGATTAAAGCCGGGGTCCAGGAGGTTAGCTCGATCCTGCAGACACAACTAATAAATATGCACACAAGCACAAACTCAAAACACACTCTCACAGGACGTGTTAACTAATTTATGCTCTACACAATCTAGTACGAGTTAATTACAATCAGTTGACTGCAACAGTTAAGTGTGCAGATACAGTTCATTGCAAAAAATGGTGGTGATCCTTTGATCATTATCAGAAACCCACATCAAACGCATATTATCGGCGGCCTACGGAAGGTTGGGCTTCAGGAGCCTGAACAGTGTCGTTCAGGACCTGATCTCATCGAAATTGTTAAAATACTTAATAATTGGTAAGATGTTGATACATGCATCTTCTTAAAAAGTTGAGATGTAACATAAACAAGCAACAACGGCTTCAAGCACAACAAGCACCAAAACTGAAAACAGGATATGCTTCTTTTCCCACAGGGTTATAAACTCATGAAAATGCCTACCCACAGAAGCCTTAAATGTCAAAACTGTTGAAATTTAAAATCCGGCTAGAAAGAAATCATCAGGACAAATGTGGGGGATTTTTGACAAGCCACCGGCCTCCTGTCCTGTCCTAGTCAAGGTCACTAGTGTTAGTGGCCCTAAGTTTAATTCAGGTAAATAACAGTTAATATCAGCTTAGAATGCTTATCTTTGTTAATCACAAAACGCAACTGGAGAAAGTTTATATATATATAATATACAACCAAACTAGCCCTGTAGCCGAGAGGTATGAGCTATGAGGAAAACTAAAGGAGTTAAACCTCACGTTACTGGAGGAGAGAGAAAAACATGGGAGACATGATCGCACATACAAAATACTCACAAGAATAGACAGAGCAGACAAGGACATGGTATTTATCATGAGTAGTATACGAACAGGTGATTACAGATGGAAACTAAGTGCCCATATGAGGCGCGCACACACACACTATATATATATATATATATATATATATATATATATATATATATATATATATATATATATATATATATATATATATATATATATATATATATATATATATATATATATATATATATGCTTTCTTTTCCAGCGCCTCAGTGTGGCGATACAGAGGGGAAATGCGCACTGCATCCAGGGTTCCTGCCCGCCATCTGAGGAGCTGGAGGAACTCGACAACCTATGACAACCATCTTTGTAACCCATATGTAACTCCTTTTTTGTAACAAAGTTCAAATAAAGTAAATATATATGTGTACATACAAAAGAATGGGGGTGGTAGGAGAGGATAATATTAGTGTTCAGTGAGAAACCACAAGGTCTCCTCTGAATACTTTTTATTTTCTTCTCCGAGGCTATGGGTCCCCACATTGGCACCAGAGGTATATATATATATATATATATATATATATATATATATATATATATATATATATATATATATATATATATATATATATATATATTTCTGGTTCAAAGGATAGTTAACAAACAGAAGTGGTGGAGGCAGACTCCAAACACGGCCTTAATTGTTGATAAGACCAGAAGAGGGACCAAAGAGACATAGCTCATCCTCGGCGAGTACAACTAGGTGAGTACTAGTCAAGCTGACCCGCGCCGCTACAGCCTTCACTAATTACAAGGACTTTGTTACAGTCAGTGGTGCGAATAATTCGGTTATTCCCATCAGTTTAACCGATTCTGGTGCCGGACCTTTACCGGCTAGCTGACTCTTAGTGATGGGAGCCGTTATCATATACGGTGCTATGATTACATTTGCATAATTATTCTCTTTATAGCAACCTGGAACTGGAGGCATAATTGGACAGGGTTACTGAAGGAGGACATATTTCCTAGGAAATATGTCCTCCTAGGAAATATTTCCTATTTAAGAGAAAGTAAGGAGAGTGTTTACGAGTTTCAGGTAAGTACACGTATGTTTAGTGAGCGATATTTAACAATGGCTTTAAGTAGGATAATACCAATTTAATTTATTTTTCTTTTGCGTGAGAAAATAATGGTATAGAATGGGATCGAATTCGCATTCCTGGACTCATCCGGCACAATCGCGAATCTGCGTGTGAACAAGTATTTCGATTACCAAGTTCTATGTAACATAATACACGTTGGACCCCATGATTGTTACAAGCATAACTTAGACATATATATGAATGAGTTTGTCTGTGCAGTTTTCTTGATTCTTATGATTTTTTTGGGACATTTAGGTACATGTGCATTTGTTTAGTTGCCCTAGACTATATGAAGGGAAGTACAGTGTGTGAAGAACTAGCTACGTGGTGCTAAAATATCCCATACATAAGATGGTTAGTCAGTCATGTGATCAGTAGTCTACAATGGCTAATTTTCGGTGCATTATTATGATATCCTCAAGAACACGAGAGTTAATATAGTAATTGCAAAGTCCCAGATACCTCATGCCAACGGGTCTGATTTGTCTAATAACTGGGCATTCAGTGATGTAGTGTGGGAGATCATGACCCAGTTCCTGCTCACAGAGTTTGCACCTAGAGTGTTCAGGATTGGGAGATCCGTCACCTGTAGCCACCTGCCACAGGTAACGGTAACCCAATCTGATTCTGACAACCTCTGAGTCGCACAGTCTAGTGAACGTTTTGTGCTGCCCATACACGTAGATTTCGGATCTGAACAAATCAAAGCTTTTTATTGCTGTTGGGAGTCAGTAAGTTATCTCCTATCGACCCTGAGTGTTTGAAACAATATATTTACAATTACTAAAAATTTTAATGAAAACTATGGAAACCACCAACAGCATTTCGTAGGAGTCATTTGTTGTTGCAATAGGAGCCAATCCTACTTAAGGGGGGGGGGAATGGATGTCTACCTCACCCCCCATTCCCCATGACACTTCTTATACATTCATAAGTCATCATAGAGAGTTTCATAAGGATAACTACAAGCGTCTAACCTCCAACCTCGGACAAAGACAGACTTAAGTCCATAGATATTGATGGTGCCAAATAACTTTGACCATCGGGAATCAAACGCCGACCTGCAAGAATCGAGTCAATCCACGTGGGTAGGCCCGACGCATGCAGAGGTGTAACCCGACGCATGCGGAGGTGTAGGTCAAACGTATGCAGTTATGACATCAGGGTTATTATTGTGTTATATACAAGCGGAGTGATTCTACTAGACGGTCACCAGTAAAGGCCGGAGAACATGCCCGGCTGTCATGTTACATTATATAGTGTTGATCTTACATATGCTTACAATCATCACTCATTATATGATGTCAGGATGAGACAGACAGACAGGCATTGCACTCAGATAGGCAAGCAGAAAGCAGGCAGGCAAATAGACAGCAGACAGGCACACAGATAATAAGAAAGCATTTGGCAGACAGCCAAGCAACCAGATAGCAGGTATAGGCAGGTTAATTGGTAGATGGGCAAGCATAAAGCGGTCAGGGAAGGAGATAGACAGACAAGCAGAGAGCAGGCAAGTAAATGGACGGGCAAGCTGAAAGCAGACAAATGGGAAGATAAACAGACAACCCGAGAGGAGGCAAGCAGACGGGGAAAGGGGGAGGGGGTTAACACGTGACAGCCATGTGACACTAATACCCTTTAGGAAGGCGAGCTTTGCTCATCGCGTCTCGAACTGGAGCGAGCCAGTGGTCCAAACAGAGCCGGGCTTTGACGGGACGATACATAGCCTCTGTCTCTCCCGGGCCCCAATTACTGCCGGGTGCTGATCCGGAAAATAACGATGGCGATGAGGAGGGAGCAGGAAGCATCCTGGGAGATAATACGACGTTAAAAATGTCACAAACGCGAGGAGGAGGAGGAGGAGGCGGCGGCTTGTGACAGGGGAGGGGGGGGGGATGGGAATATGGGAAAGTATGGGAGAAGGCATGCCAGCAGAAAAGTACAGGACCTGACAAGTTAGGAGAGAGGGTAAGACAGTGGAGGAAAAAGGGTATGGCAAAGGAGAGGGAATGTTAACGGAGGGGAGAGGATATAACAACGGAAAGGGGAAGGGGTAAGACTGGGAATGAGGCCAACACGAAAACATTACATTCCACACTATAAGGGGAGTCATGGGTGTCGAAGAGAGAATCTGGATGTTGAAGGGGTAGCCTGGGTTTCGGTGAAGCAGGCAATAGGTGTCGAGGAGAACTCTGGGAATCGAGGGTTCTCTTAGTTCCGGGACGAGTCTGGTGGCATACCTCTTGAATCCCCTCTAGGTATGAGGTATGAACTCCAGGCTGGAGCTGCATATTCCAGGACTCGTTTGACATGGGTGGTATACAAGGTCCTGAACGATTCCTTACACAATTTTTTAAAGGCAGTTCTTATGTTGGACAATCTAACATATGCCGCTGATGATATCCTTTTGATGTGGGCCTCTGGAGACAGGTTTGGTGTGATATCAACAACCCAGATCTTTCTGTCTGACTCTTGCAGGATTTCACCTCCCAGGTGGTACCTTGTGTTCAGCCTTCTGCGCCTTTCGCCTAATTTCATTACTTTACACTTTCCTGAGTTGAACTTTAGTAGCTATTTTCTAGACTTTTCCAGTTTGTCCAGGTCGTCTTGTAGTCTCTGTCTATCTTCATCTGTCTTGATTCTTCTCATAATTTTTGCATCATCAGCAAACATAGAGAGGAATGAGTCTATACCCTCTGGAAATCGCCAGAGGGTATATAGTCGCAATACGCCACTCCGATGTAGCCCCCCCCCCACCCTCACAGTTACTCGCTGTTTCCTGCTGTTTAGATACTCCCTTATCCACTGGAGCACCTTACCTTTCACTCTTGCCTGTTGCTCCAACTTTTGTAACAGCCTTTTATTGGGTACTGTGTCAAAGGCTTTCTGACAGTCCAAGAAAATGCAGTCTGCCCACCCTTCTCTTTTTTTGCCTAATTTTTGTTGCTTGGTCATAAAATTCTATTAAACCTATGTATCGTCCCACACGATAGTGTGGGCCGATAGTCCTACATTTTCTTTAATACTTGTGTTCTTATGCGTACTGGTAAACTAAGGCAGGTTTACCTGCCTTAGTTTACCTGCGGGCAGGTAAGCAGGTTTACAGACAGACAAATTCGGTATAAAAGTGCGAGTCAGTCAGCTAGGTAAACGAGCGAGAGACAGTGGGGGAGGCACAGGTCCCCTTAAAAGGTTATGGAGGGGGACAATCAGACAAACACGAAGAAAGCCTCATCCTATCTACTCCAGGTGGTGTTTTCTTGCCCTGTGCTCTCAGCGGGGTCGCCAGTCCGCTGACCATGGCCATAAACACACTCCGACACCCTTCAGACACACGTTCACCGACAGGTAACCCCTCTTTTGGACTAGCTGCTCTCCGATCCCGCATGATGTCCCACCAAGATTGGGGGAGCGTTTACAGGTCGGGTACACGTCAGTTTGTCTCGGCACGCTCCCCATCAGGTAGCTCCTGGAGTAATCAGAAGGCGGGAGCTACGCTTTGGTTACCAGAGATTAAAAGGTAGAGTTTGACAGACTTTTATGGCACAGTTCTCACTGATAAGACTGCTATCTGAGTGGAGAAGTTGTAAATCATTCGGAGGTCTGTGGTTGGACAGATGATCATCGCCAGACGTGTTAGAATGAACTACTGTGGTTGTGGAGGAGAGGGAAGGGGGCTCTGTCTATGTTAGGGTGAGCTAATGTTGTAGTGGGGGGCTGTATCTATATTAGGGTAAGCTACTGTGGTGGTGGTGGTGGGGGCTGAGGACACACACTACGTTTGGTCGGTTTCTTCTCTTTCTCTTTTGCAACCAAGAGAAATATTTTGACTACCGGATGGGCACCAGATGTCTGGTTGTTGACTCTGTGTTTCCACATCACGTCGAGCTATGCAGCAGAAAACTATCAAGATTAAAGGAGCGATTGCCAGAGCAAGTGGCCAGTCTTAAGCAAGAAGTCTTGTTCATCTTTATGCACAATTCATCTGAAAATTAATCTTGCATTGGGAAGTGACTGTCAACTGGGTCTTTAATCTCAAATCATCCTGGAAGAAAAATTTCATCGGTGGCAGGTTTAGAATAAAAATATATTCAATGAGTCTATGGGTCAGTAGCAAGGATCATGTGATATATTATATAGGCAAGTTAAAATAATTATGAGGAGGAAGAACTAAGCTAGTGTGACTGTATAGACCTGGAAGGGATGTGAGGACAAATAGCTGGAGTAACACGGAAGGAAGAAATGGTGTCCAATCACTTGGATCATTGTGAATCAAACGCCGTCCTGCAAGAAGTAAAGCCGTCGCTGTACTGACCAGTTCAAGTGGTTACATAAATTTATATATGCAAAGAAATGGTGTATTACATATAGTCTAGAGATAGAAACAAATATTAAATATATATACACAATCTACTACTTACAAACAAGGTACTCGCATCAGGTTAATTATCAACTATATGCTAACTAATGAACACATCGGCTCAAATAAAAGACAGAGTTATTTCATTATGAATTTGACAAGTGAACGCAGAAAAATAACCATCATTTACCACTGGTGGATGAGTAGATTGTAATTCAATACTTGCAATCTCTTAATCTTTAATGCCAGAACAACTGTTTCTACAAATGCCTGATAGGTGTGAGGTAAGGACACTCCACTAAGTAACGAGTTACGCATGTAGATGAGCTCTGCTGATCATCGCAGTCCATAACCTTACTTGAGATTATCAGCAATTAAGTTCGATAACGAAGAAAATTTGCTGTGGAATGGAGAACCATCGCCTAAGCACGGATTGACAGTTGTACTGCTAGTATCATATGAGATATTGTTTCACGACAACACTGTTAGTG